CCCCCATTTCGGGTCGCCCCCCACGACCGCCCGCACGAGCCAGGCGCAGCCGTACCCGCCCCCCCCCCTCCCCGCAGCCGGCCTGTCGGCGTCGCCAGGGGTGCGACGCTGCGGGTGTCCCGTCGGTTGTCCGCCGTCGTGGCCGTCGCCGTCGCGCCCGCCGCCGTCGCCTGGCATCGCTCGGACGTGTGCATGTTTCCTTCGGCGAGAACCATCGAGGAGCATCCTTGATGATTTGGCGAAACAACCACGCACGAAACCGAGCAAAAGCACAGGGAATGGACGTCCGAGCGATGGCCAGGTCGCCGTCGCCGCTGGTGGCTGTTGCTGCCTGCCTGTCCTTTCTCTGGACCTCGTGCCCCCTATGCGGGCGGGCGGGCGCGAGGCCAGCCTAAGTCCCTTCGGTTTCAAGTCACGGGGCCCTGCGTGCTCTTCTCGTAATTCCGTCTTTCGAGTGCATATTGGCGTCGACGCGCGTCTGGTAGTCGATGATGTAGCGCAGATTTGGCGTCGATGAGCATCGATCCGCGTCGATTCGCGTCGATCTCGCGTCGATTTCGCGTCGACTCGCAAGACCCAGCACGTTGGTATTGGAGGCTCCCATGAGATGACACCGAAGAACCTAGACGCCGTTGGGGGGGGGGCGGAAGAAGGTACAGGCGCCGTCCCCAGGACCCCCCCAGGACCCCCAACAAAAAGCCCCGGAAGGCGGCCGAACACGAACACCCATCGACTGGCCACGCCCCCCTCCCCCCTCCCTTGGACCCCCCCAACAAAAATTACGCTACCGAGGAACACATACTTATATTATGGCTGGAGTTATGATAGCCTCCTTCTCCTCCTCCTCCTCTTCCTCCTCCTCTCCCCCTCGCCATTGATGTACTAACCAGGATGCCCCGATTTGGCATCGAGGTCTCCGATACGCTGCGGCAGCAATCAAGCAACCGAACCGACTGGCTGCTCTGCAAGCCCGCTGGGCCGACAACATTCCCATGCCGCCTCGGCGACCCAGTGTTGCAGCGCGCAACGCGCCCATCGACAGCGCGCCACGCCAGCGTGCCACGCTGACGACCCCGAGAGACCACCCCCTGCGCACCCCCTCTGGTGTCGAGGAAGTGCCACGCCTGCTAGGCCATGCGAACTGGGCGCGTATAGAGAGACCCCCCCTGCGCACCCCGTTCTGGTGTCGAGGAAGTGCCACGCCTGCTAGGCCCTGCGAAATGGGCGCGTGTAGAGAGACCCCCCCCTGCGCACCCCCTCTGGTGTCGAGGAAGTGCCACGCCTGCTAGGCCCTGCGAACTGGGCGCGTATAGAGAGACCCCCCCTGCGCACCCCCCTCTGGTGTCGAGGAAGTGCCACGCCTGCTGGGCCCTGCGAAATGGGCGCGCACTGTGTCGGTGTGCCTGCCTGTGTGTGTATGTATGTATGTATGTATGTATGTATGTATGTATGTATGTATGTATGTATGCATGTATGTATATATGTATGTATGTATGTATGTACGTACGTACGTATGTATGTATGTATGTATGTATGTGTGTATGCATGTATGTATGTATGTATGTATGTATGTATGTATGTATGTATGTACGTACGTACGTACGTACGTACGTACGTACGTATGTTTGTATGCATGTATGCATGTATGTATGTATGTATGCATGTATGCGTGCATGCGTGCATGCGTGTATGTATGTATGTATGTATGTATGTATGTATGTATGTATGTAGGTATATAAATATGTATGTATGTATGTATGTATGCATGCATGTATGTATGTATGTGTGTTGCATGCATATATATATATACATATACATGTATATATATATATATATACATGTACGTATGCATGCATGCATGCATGTATGTATGTATGCATGTATGTATGTATGCATGCATGTATGTACGCATGTATGTATGTGTGTATGTATGTATGTATGAATGTATGTATGGATGCACGTACCCATGTACGTATGTACGTATGCCCGTATGCACGTACGTATGTACGTATGTACATGCGCATGTATGTATGTATGTATGCATGTATGCATGTATGCATGTATGCATGTATGCATGCATGCATGTGTGCATGTATGCATGTATGCATGTATGCATGTATGCATGTATGCATGTATGCATGTATGCATGTATGCATGTATGCACGTATGCACGTATGCACGTATGCACGTATGCATGTATGCATGTATGCATGTATCCATGTATGCATGTATGCATGTATGAATGTATGCAGGTAGGTAGGTAGGTAGGTAGGTAGGTAGGTAGGTAGGTAGGTAGGTATCACGTCTGCCACGCTTTGCGGGAGAGGGAGGTTTGTGCGGGTGTGAGACGCGGGTGCGACGCGGCAGGGAAGAAAACCATAACCCCACGAAACATGTGGGGGAAAACATGTGTTTTGTTTTCGAGGGCTGGGGGGCGTTCCACCAAGCTTCTGGTCGCTGATTTAAGCTCCGCTTGCCTGCTAAAGCCAATGGCATTTTGGTGGAACGCCTACCAGTTATCGAAAACAAACAACTAGTGTGTGTGTGTGTGTGTGTGTGTATGAGTGTATGTGTTTTCCACGCGTGCCCCGTCATCTTTTTTAGTTGGTTTTGGGGCATCTTAGATCATGAAATAAGGGGAGGCACACAGAGACGTTGGAAGGGACGTTACCCAAAGGCCCGAGACGGGGAGGAGTGGAGGACAGTCCTACTCCTTGCCCTTCTCCGCCTCCTCCACCTCCTCCTCCTCCTCCTCCTCCTCCTCCTCCTCCTCCTCCTCTCTCACCCTCCTCCTCCTTCCTCCTCCTCCTCCTCCTCCTCCTCCTCGTTTTCCTCCTCCTTACGCTCCTCCGCCTCCTCCTCCTCCTCCTCCCTCCTCCTCCTCCCTCCTCCTCTCCTCCTCCTCCTCCTCCTCCTCCTCCTCCTCCTCCTCTCTCCTCCTCCCTCCTCCCCTCCCTCCTCCCTCCTCCTCCTCCTCCTCCTCCTCCTCCTCCTCCTCCTCCTCCTCCTCCTCCTCCTCCTCCTCCTCCTCCTCCTCCTCCTCCTCCTCCTCCTCCTCCTCCTCTCCTACCCCGTCCTCTCCTTCCTCCTCATCCTGCTCCTCCTCCTCCTCCTCCTCCTCCTCCTCCTCCTCCTCCTCCTCCTCCTCCTCCTCCGGGAGATGCTGCACGGCGGGCCGGTGCTCGGGCGACAGCCTCTCTCCCTCTGGCTGCTCGTCCCCGTGCGGGGACTCCAGCAGGAGCCTCTCGTAGCACGGCGGGCACCTTTCGGCGGGAGTTCGTGGAGAGCCGGCAGGTCTTGCACCGGAGTGGCGCCGTGTACGGCTGGCGCCGGATAGGTAGCGCGCGAGGGGGGGGGTGCCGCCTCTCAGGGATGCAGCGTGCTCGTCTGAGATCGAGGTTGCACGCTATCTTTCCAGCGCGAATCGTGCAGTCTTCAAAAGGGAATATGAGGAGGAGGAGGAGGAGGAGGAGGAGGAGGAGGAGGAGGAGGAGGAGCTCTGCGAGGCGTCGGTGCCCCTGGCAGTGAGCGTTGCGTGCCACGCGGAGTTGGAAGCACTCGTAATCGGGGTTGTATTGTTGGACGCTGTTCTGATCCCATCGTTGCAATACGATGGCATGTGCCCACGGGTAAGATCGCTGCTGGGCTCCAACACGGAAGCATTGCAGTCGAGTGCCGGTAGTCTTCTCACGCGCACAGCGTGAGACCGAGCGCTGGATTCACCCGAGCGGCTCCATTTAGCAGGGGTGCGAAAGGAAAGGAGGGAGTGGGGAGGAAGACTGTGGATATGTACAGTGCCGTTTTTAATACATGCTCCGCGTGCGGATCATGTATTAAAAGTGCAGGGATCCAGTATAAAAAACAACGACGAGTTCGTGCATAACTGCATTCATGCATTAGTCGTGTATTAGACATCGTATATGTTTTAATATCCTGTGTATTAAAAGCTGCCCCGTGCAGCTCTTTGGCCCGAAACGTGGTCCTCGCCCCGTGGCCGCCCCCAGAGGCTGCCAGAAGGCGGATCCTGTCGTTGGACCGAGGGCGTGGCGGCACGGCACGGGGGCGCAGCCGTCGTGGGTCGGGCCGAACGACAGGGGGGGAGGGGGCAAGGGGGGGTCGCGAAGTCAGCTGGGGATAGGGAGAGGGGGAAAGGGGGGATAGGGGAAGGGGGGGATAGGGAAAGGGGGGGATAGGGAGAGGGGGGGATAGGGAGAGGGGGGGGATGGGGAGAGGGGGGGGATGGGGAAAGGGGGAGATAGGGAAAGGGGGGGGTTCGGCCCCGCCGCCGGGCCCGTTCCTCGATGCATCGGCGCCTCCCGGCGCCGGGAGGCGCCGGGAAAATCAGCTGCGTGAGCTGATTCTCGGCCCCCCCTTTGCTATCCCCCCCTTCCGCCCCGCCCGAGCAGGGCCAGGGCGGGACGGGGGGGACTCCGGTAGCAGATTAGGGGGGCCTCGCGTGTCCTCGCAGTTCCGTCTTTAGTGCATTAGCGTCCGCCAGCGTCTTGTGCTCGATGGGGCAGCGCCGACTTGGCATCGATCAGCGCCGATTTAGCGCCGATGAGCGCCGAGTAGCGTCGACTCGCGAGAGCTACCACGATGGTATGGGAGGCTCCCGCGAGTTGCCACAGAACTGGGCGGAGGGTGAGAGCAGAGCCGGGGTGCCGCTGCCAGGAGCCCTGCAGCGGGCGAACAGCCTCACGCCCTCCCATCAGGCGTCCTCTTTTTCTTCTCTTTGGGGGGCGGAGGGAGCGCGCGATTGGAGCAGCTTGAGCACGGGAGTCCTTGCACTGTCTTCCATCCGTCCCTACTCGCGCAGCACCAGTTGCGTTTACAATTCGCTCCGCCCACTGCATGGCGCACTGTGTGGCTCTTCGTGTGGGGCAGCGCCGGTGCGCTCCTTCGAACGTGGCTCTGGCTGTTGTCTCTGTCGTGTATTTACTTATGTTTCTCTTCTCAGTGCTTGTGCTTAGAGGATCTTACTGCTGTGAACTGGGCCGTGTGGTCGGTCTGGCGGTTATGTCGTTGCCGTCGCCGCCCTGTCGCCGCCTCGTCGCGGCCCGTCGTTTGGGCCGTGTGGCCGGTCTGTCGGCTATGTCGTCGTCGTCGCCGCCCCGTCGCCGCCTCGTCGCCGCCTCGTCGCCGCCCGTCGCTGCCGCTTGATTGCACCACAGAGACTGCACGAATCATTTGCCCTTTGCGGCGCATTTTTTTGATCGGTCACAACATGGCAGATTCTCGTTTCTAAAAATGAGATAGGTTTTACCACCCTCCCCCCAGGACTTATCAATACCCCGGGAACCTATGCAAAACACATGATTTGGGCCCATTGTCCTTCCTACCTGTGAGCTCATACTATCCCAGCCAGGCCGATATCGGTCCCCCTCTCTTCCCTTGCAACAGATATTATGCGCATAAATTCTCAATCATCCAAAACATGGGACGAAGTGCACACGCACGCGTCGTCGCGCGCGCATGCCGAAATCCTTCAAACACATCCAGTTTCGGAAGGATTTCAAAATCGAGTGTCCAAAAGCTAAAAAACAAGACAGGGGTTCGCAACGCGGATTTTCAACAAAAGCGTGCGCGCGCGCTCTTGCGAATTCTGAAGAAAACCGTGAGTTTTCAACATTTGTATAACTACCAAACGGGCTTCGCGCGCGCATGTCGAAATCGTTCGAACGCTCTTGCGTGCGTGCTGGGGTGGCACGATCCGTGTCAAATAATACCATGCGGCCACTCGCGCGTCTGCCGCGCGCGCATTTCGAAATCCATCGAAAACGTTCATCACCGACGCGAAGACGCCGTCATCGTCATCGGCGTGATCAGCATCGGCGCCGTCGTCGCTGTCAGCATCGTCAGTGTCCGGCAACCTTGCTGATGCCTCTTCGGTTTGCTCCGGCACTCCTCCATCCCCTGCTCCCCCTCCTTCTTTGCTTGCCTGGCACCAGCTCGTGACCCGACCAGGAGATGCGTTCTGTAGAGAGAGAGAGAGAGAGAGAGTGTGTGTGTGTGCCTGCTACGCTCAGCAGCGTTGGAAGGGTCTCTGCAGGAGCGAGTGCAAGGGCCGCCGAGCCACTGGCGAAGGACATATGGAATCGTCCGTGGCAGGGCCAGCACCCGACCACGGGAAGGCCTCTGGGGTGAGGGCCCCTGGGCCACGGCTGGCCCTGTCTGCACGGCAGAGGTACGATTGAGGAATCCGGTTCATGCTGTTTCTCCTTTGCTTGGCCTCCCTCCTCCCAGCTACAGTCGGGGCGCTGAACAAGGAACCCTTTTCGTTGGGGAGGGGCTCCGTGTTCCTTAATTGTTTCGCACTTTGCGTTAGGTTGTCCTTAGGTTTTCGATGGGGAATCGAAGTTTGACTGATGGAAAAACAGGGGCCTCGTTCCTTATTTAGGGTTCCTTAGGCCAACGCCCCGACTGTATTTGGCCTGGCCGATCCAGCCATCCAAAACCGGCCGGCTCCCAGACCGATGCTTCCGACGCGGAGGGCCGGTCGTGGCGCAGGACCGCGCGTCGCCAGGAGGAGGAGGATGAGGATGAGGAGGGCGATGAGGAGAGGGAGCAGAGTGAGGAGCATGAGGGTGGGGATGAGGCGAATGAGGAGGAGGAGGAGGAGGAGGAGGAGGAGGAGGGCGATGAGGAGAGGGAGCAGAGTGAGGAGCATGAGGGTGGGGAAGAGGCGAAGGAGGAGGAAGAGGAGGAGGATGATGTGGATGATACGGGCGAGAAAGGGGGAGGGGGAGGAGGAGGAGGGTGAGGAGGAGGAGGAGGATTGAAGTGGAGGAGGAGGACGAAGAAGACGTGGAAGAAGACGAATCATACGAAGTATATTATCATAACAACAAAAAATAATATCAATAACAGGAAGAAGAGAAGAGGGGGAGGAGAAATACTACTAATAATAGCAATACGAATAATACGAATAACAAGAGACACATTCGTAATAATGGTCATAAGAAGAGAAGAAGGAGGAGGAGAAGGAGGAGGAGGAGGAGGAGTCCCCCCACCTCTTCCCCCTTTCGGCGGCGAGCAAGGGGGGGGAATTTCGAGGTTCGACTCTTCGAGGTTCCAGGTTCGAGGCGGTTTCTCGTCGTTTTCAGGCTTTGGGGGCCGTTTTCGGGAAAGGGGCCCAAGAAGCCCGACCCAGGGTGAAAAACCGCGTCGGATGGACCCCGGAGGGGTTGAGGACTGATTTTGACCGATGTTTGGAGGCGCGCCCAGGGGGGCAAGTGAGAAGGATGATGCCGTCGCAGAAGGCGGCGGGGCTTCTTCGAAGCCCTCCGGCCTTCCGAGAGGTTGATCTGTGCCTTTTGGGAAGGCCCCGAAACTTTCTCAGAAGGCCGGGGGACTTCCGAGCCTTCCGATCTGGACGCCCGAAGTGGGCACGGAAAGAAGGGGTACAATGCCCAACAGTAGTTCCTGTTCATTTTGAAAACAGGATTCGCTGTCCACGCCGCCGCGGCCCGTGTCCATTCGAGGCAGAAGGCCGCCTGCCCAACAGCGGCCGCTGTTGGTTTGGGACGACATGTGTTGTTGGGCACTGTACCCATTCTTTCCGTACCCATTTCGGGCGTCCAAATCCTGGCAGCTTTCGGCGGAAGACCTCCAACGTAGTGTCTTTCCATGTGTTCAGCGCCCACCTATAGCTCAGATTTCTGCCACTGGAGGCCTGTCTCGGGGCCCGGTGTTTCCAAACAGTGGTCTAGGACGAGAAAAACCCGTCCCGGGGAAAGGGGTCGAGAGTTTTGTGAGCCAGGTGCTGACTCGGCGGCGAGCCCGCAGGGCATTGTACCCATGTTTTCCGTACCCATTTTGGGCGTCCAATTCCGAGAGGGCCCGCCCCCTCCCACTTCTCCCCCGGGCGCGCCGCCGATGCCGCCGGTGCCCCCCCTGCCGCCGCCTCGCTCCTCTGCCCCCCCTGGCAGCCAAGGGATCGGCAGTCGGGGCTGCTGCGGGTGTCCGCGAGGGGCCCGCCGGTCCTCGGTCGGAGGACGCGCAGTGGGGGGGCGATGAATTGGGGGGGGCAGCGAGGGGCCTTAAAGGGGGCCTCTTGGGCTCGAGAAGGGCGCCCGTCTTCCCCCCCCCATCGATCCGCGCCCACCTCGGGTCGTGCCGTGGTTGTCCCTCCAGCCTCTGGCCCTCCTCGTGCCCCCGGGCTCTGTCCTCGTGCCGCAAGGGGGCCTCGTTCCTGGTTCAGCGTTCCCCGCTTCGGCAGCCCGACCGCTCTGCAGAGGAGACAGTGCTGCTGCTTCGAGGTTCGTGGTCAGGAGCGGCTCACGCGTGGCTCGACCGCGTCCCGACCAACCGCGCTCGACTGAGCGCGAGGCAGCTGCCCGCGGCGCCGTCGTGCACCTGCGCGCCGGCAGGGCGCGCGCTGGCGCCGCCTGCCCGAAGGGTGCGAGGGGCACTCCTCGGGTGGTGCTGGATGTGGCCCTGGCCTGAGGTGGCCGCGGCTTCCCTAGGGCGGCGCAGGTGGCTTCGGAGCACCCCTCACGGGGCCAAAAAGGGTCCGAGCGGCTCCAGAATGGAGCGAGAAGCACACCGACCTGCAATATGCAAACAGCATGTTTGCATATTGCAGGTCGGCTAGTGCGGCGTCCCCGATTCGCTTGGCGACTAGCTGTTTCACACTGTGGCCTTGCATAGCCTTCGTGTCGAGCTCTGGTGGTCGCGCTTCTTTTTCGTTATAGTTCTGACAAGCTGTTCTTGTTACCGCTACTACTACCACTACTACCACTACCACAACTACAACAACAACAATTACTACTACTACGACTACTACTACGACTGCGACTACGGCTACGGCTACGGCTACGACTACGACTACGACTACTACTACGACTACGACTGCGATAACTAACTACTACTACTACTGCTACTGCTACTGCTCCTAGTCTTACTAGTACACTACTAATACTACGCCTAATCTTGCTACTTCTCTTGTCACTTGAAGTTCTACGACTACTAATATTACTACTACTACTACGACTACGACTACTATTACGATGTCTACAAATACTGCTAATGCTAATGCTACTACTTTTGCTCCTACTTCTACTACTACTACTACTACTACTACTACTACTACTACTACTACTACTACTACTACTACTACTACTGTACTATTACCACTATTACTACTACTAGTATTACTACGACTGCTACGACGTCTAATACTACTACGACTACGACTGCGATAACTACTACTACTACTGCTACTGCTACTGCTCCTAGTCTTACTAGTACACTACTAATACTACGCCTAATCTTGCTACTTCTCTTGTCACTTGAAGTTCTACGACTACTAATATTACTACTACTACTACGACTACGACTACTATTACGATGTCTACAAATACTGCTAATGCTAATGCTACTACTTTTGCTCCTACTACTACTACTACTACGACGACTACTACTAGTAGTGCTGCTGCTGCTGTTGCCGCTTCTGCTGCTACTGATGTCAGTCGCCAGTACTGCCAGCAGTATTTTTATGGTTAGTATTACACTTATAATTATTACCACTACTGGTACTACTACTAGTGCTACTACTACTACTACTACTACTACGATTACGATTATTACTATTCTTAGTACTCATACTTCTGGTACTACGAGTACTACCACTTCTATTACTAGTACTACTACGAATACTACTACTACTGCTACTACTACTGCTACTACTAATACGACTACTACTACTACGATTGCTGTTTCTACTGCGGCCGCTGCTGCTACGACAGCTACGACAGCTACGACAACTACACCTACTGTTGTTACGACCACTCTTATCTTCATTACTACTTCTAGTGTTACCACTGGTGCTGCTACTAGTGCTACCGCTTGACATCTACTGCTACTTTTATTCCCGCTACTACTATTACTAATCCTACTACGGATGCTGCGAGTGATTTTTTATTGCTGCTACTGCAACGACTGGCTGCAACCACAAGTATTCTTGTTATTATTACGAATGCTACTGCTACTTCGACTGGGAGCACTGCTATCTACCACCACCACCACCATTACTACTACTACTACTACTACTACTACTACTACTACTACTACTACTACTACTACTACTACTACTACTACTAGTACTACTACCACTACTGCTACTACTACTGCTACTACTACTACGGCTACTACTAGTACTGGTACCACTACTATTACTACTACTACTACTACTACTACTGCTACTGCTACTACTACTACTACTACTGGTGCTATTGCTGCGACAACTGTTTGTGCTGCCACTAATACCACTGTTGTTACTAGTATCGCTACCTCTACTACCACTACTGCTACTGCTAGCACTTCTAATGCTATTACGACTGCTAGTACCACTGCTACTGCTACAGCTACTACTACGATCACTATTACTACTACTAGTAGTAGTAGTAGTACTACTACTACTGCTGCTGCTGCTACTACTACTACTACTTTTACTACTACTATTACTACTACTACTACTACTACTACTACTACTACGACGATCACTACTACTGCTGGTACTAGTACAACTACGATTGGAACTATTAGTAGTAGTAGTAGTAGTACTACTACTACTACTAATATTACTACTGCGACCACTACTACTACTTTCGCTACTACTACAACTGGTACTGTCACCACGGCAACTACTGCTTCTACTGCTGCTACTACTGCTGCTAATACTGTTACGACGACCACTGCCACGACTATTACGACGACGACTACTACGACGACGACTCGTATTACTACTAGTGCGACTACTAGTACTGCTGCTGCTGATATTTATATTAATATTTCTATTACTACAGCTACATCTACTGCTACTTGTATCAAAATGTAGTTCTCGCCTTAGCGCCGCGCGCTTTCTTTTCACGAGATCGTAGCTGTTTTTTGAATGGACGGGGGCGGGGTTCAAAGTGTTACTCTCGCCTTCGCGCCGCGCGCGTTCGTCGTAAACGTTTGCAGCAGTTTCACACGCGGAAGTGGTATGGCGTTCAAAATGTGGCTCTCGCGTCTGCGCCGCGCAAGTTCACTTTCAACGTTTGCCAAAGTTTCACGGATGGAGGGCGGCCGCCCGCATTTGTTTTTATAAAATCGCAGACCCTTCATCGACGGAAGTCGGTCCTCTTCCAAGATGAGGCCGTCGCCGCATTGCCGCACGCATTCGTCTTCAACGTTTGCGACATCTTCACGGATGGACGGCGATTCTTTTTCGTTTTTTTTTTGTTGTTGTAGAAAATTCTCGTTTCGCGCACATGTTCATGACTCGAAGAGGGGGTCATTGTCAAAAGTAAGTTTTTGCTTGAAAGTAACTTCGCAGTATCCTCACAGACGCAGGGCAACTTATTTTCAGGATGGGGCCCTCGCCTTTGCGCCGGCATCGCTCGCGAGCCTGTTTTTTGAATCCCTCTGGGTCATGACGCGCGTTATGGCCCCCGCCCCCCCCCTCATAGCGTTACGCTCCCCCACTCAGTGTGCTTCCGGCAGTGCCGTTGTGCGCTCGTGCACCACAGACTTGCAGCAAGGTGTGGTCGCAGCGCTTGCGTTTCCTCGCTTGCAATTGTGGCGCTCGCAGGCTATTTGCTACTGTGGCGCTCGCGCGCTGCTGTAGCGCGGTGCTCGCAGGCATGTTTCGGATGCTTTTGTGCTCGCAGGCATGCCTGGCGCTCGCATGGTACCATGGTTCTCGTATGTTAATGTGGCACTCGCATGTTGTACCCCTCACGGGCCATTATTTTCCCGACAGGGTCCAGCATCCTGCTGTGCATGCGCGTGGTGCCCGCTGGCTTTTTCACAATTGCTTCGGTTTCGCTTCCCTCGCCATTCGGTGGTCGCGGGCAAGTAGCGGTTCTAAGGAATCTGTGATGCTCGTGGGAAACAGAGCAAGAGGATGAGCAGGACGTCGACGAAGACAAGGCATGAGGAGGGAGGTGAGGGACATACCGCTCATACGCCACGCAGAGGCAGCGACGCCTTCGCAGGCATGCTCTCGCCAGATCTGCTCTTCGCATTCGTCGCCCTCGTCGTTTTTCAACGTCGGTGGTCGCCGTCGTCGTCGTCGTCGTCGTCGTCGTCGTTGTCGTCATCGTCGTCGTCGTTGTCGTAGCTCGTTGTCGCTCGCAGTCGCTCGTCGTCGTCGAACGCCTCCGAAGGCCTTCGAGGGTCTACGAAGGCCATCGAAGGACCTCCAGAGGGTTTCAGTCGTGGAGGACTCCGGAGACCTCCTGAGACTTCTGAAGGCCTCCAATCGTCGCTCGTCGTCGTCGCCGTCGTCGTTGATGTCGTCGCTCGTCCTCGTCGTCATCGTCGTCGTTGTCCTCGTCCTCGTCCGCGTCGCTTGTCGCCCGTCGCTCGTCGTCGTCGTCGTCGTCGTACTCGTCGTCGTCGTCGCCGTCGCCGCCGTCGCCGTCGCCGCCGCCGCCGCCGCCGCCGTCGTCGTCGTCGTCGCCGTCGTCATCGTCGTCTTCGCTCGTCTCGCTCGCCGTCGCTCGCCGTTGCTCGTCGTCGTCCAGCGAACTTGGGGAGGGCTTCTGGAGGCCTCCAGAGGCCTCTGTAGAAGGCCTCCAGAGGGCTCCGGAGACCTCTGCGAAACCTCTGGGCGTCGCCTGTCGTCGTTGTCGCCGTCGTCGTCGTCGTTGTCGTCGCTCGTTATCGTTGTCGTCGTCTTCGCTCACCGTCGTTGTCGTCGTCGTCATCGTCGATGTCGCCATTGTCGTCGTCCTTGTCGTCGTCGTCGTCGTCGTTGTCGCTCGTCGTCGTCGACGTCGCCATCGTCCTCGTCGTGGTCGTCGTCGTCGTCGCAGTCCTCGTCGTGCTCGTCGTCCTCTTCCTCGTCGCTCGTCGTCGTGGTGCGCGCGGACGCTGCGGTGGTGCTGGAACCGCACGGGAGGGGGTTTTGGGCGTTACGTTATGCCCCTCCAACCCATAATGCCCGTAATCGCCGCGAGTACAGTCGGCTCGGATTACAGTGCCGTTTTTTACACATGCTCCGCGTGCGGACCATGTATGAAAAATAAAGGGTTGACTAATAAATGCAAGGATGAGTTTATGCATTAATTTATTCATAATTAAGCATGTATTAAAATTCGTTTTTTGTTAACAAAAATGCATCCTATGTATTAAAAACTGCCCTGTAGTAGGTCGACCCTGCCAAATCAAGAGTACCCTCGCGCCCTGTGCTTCGCGACCCGTGCCTCCTGCATATTCCTGTGGCAGTGTGGCCCTCGGAAGGGTCTTGTGTCCTCTCGCGTGCCCCTGACCACAAATGGTTGGATTGTGCAATGGTGACAAGGAAGGTGTCGGGGGCGGAAAGGAGGGGGGTGATGACTAGGGGGGGTGGATATCATGGCGGGGGCCATGATATTTCCCCAGATATCATGGCGCCTCCTCTTATTTCATTACGTCCCTGGCCCCCCAGCTGGGTCGCGCACATGCCGCCGGTCATGATTTGCACCCCTCCCTCTTGGACACCCCCTTCTTGGCCGCTCCCTAAAGGAAGGTGGACGGTTCGTTTCAGCACTGTCTTTCGCGTTCCTGACTACGCGTCGGACAGATGCAAGGCGTTTCTTTGTCAAAGTGATGCCCTCGCCAAATTTGCAGGCCCTAGTGTGCTGGTCTTTCAAAGGGGGCGCTTCTTGTAGTGAAAAGGAGGGCATGTATGTAGGGGCGTGTGAGGAGGGGACTTGGGACCTGGGGGTGCCTTGTAGCGGCGCTGACGCATCTTTGGCTTACCCTGGTGCTCCTCCTTCTGCGTCCCGTCCCCCCCTCTCCCGCCTTTCCTCCTCCGTCCCCATTCTCCTCCCCCGACGTGCAGTCAGCCCGCACAGCACGGATGAGCAATTTTCCACGGGCTGACCTGGCATCCTTCCCCTTCGGCCCATCCTTGGCCGCTGGCGCTGGCTGCGCCCCGCTCGCCAGAGTGTCGGCACGGCCTTCCAAGACCCTTCTTGCATCCTCATCGTGCCTCCTCCTTACACGAGTTGACCGCGCCCCCCTCCCCACTCCCCCCCCAGATTCTGGACGCCCGAAATGGGTACGGAAAGAAGGGGTACAATGCCCAACAGCAGTTCCTGCTCCTTTTGAAAGGGACTCGCTGTCCGCGCCGCTGTTGCCTGTGTCCATTTGAGACAGAAGGCCGCCTGCCCAACAGCGGCCGCTGTTGGTTTGGGGCAACGTCTGTTGTTGGGCATCGCTCCCATTCTTCCCGTACCCATGTCGGGCGTCCAAACAGATGCCCGCCAGGCTCGCGGAGGAGGCCCTCGCTCCCCCTCGTCCGGCCCCCCCTCCCCCCGCCTCCTTCCCCCCCCCCCTTCTCCCGCCGCGCTCCCCCCTCCCCTCCTCCTTACACCAGTTGACCGTGTCCCCCCTCCCCACTCCCCCCCCCCCCCCAGATGCCCGCCAGACTCGCGGAGGAGGCCCTCGCTCCTCCTCGTCCGGCCCCCCCCCCCCATCCCCCCCTCTCCTCCCCCCCCCCTCCCGCCGCGCTCCTCCCCCCCCTCCCCCCCTCCCCCCCACTGCTGGGCCACGGCATCTCAGCTCACCCAGACGTCCGGGCGCCTCGACAACCTCGAGGCGGAAGCTGTTCCTCGTGCTCGGCCTCTCGGGGCCCTTTTACAGCGGGGGCGCGTGCCAAGGAACCAGTTGGATTTTGCCAGGGTGCCCTGGGTTTCTTGGACTTCGATGGGTCCCCAATAAGACCTGGATGATTTTCGATCGACAAACTTGGGTTTTCATTAAACAAATCGCGGATTTCAGGGTTGGGTTTCTTGCGGAGGTTTCTTGTGGCCGAGGCCCCACTGTACTGGGCCTCGGGACCGTCAGCGAACGACTCGGGACGAGAAACCGGTCCCGGGGAGGTGGTCGAGGGGTCGGTGGCCCGTGTCTCGAAAGAATCGCGTCGCCGGATGTCTGGGCATCCAGCCTGACTCGGGGGTTGATAGACCTCCTACCCTGACACGTCGATTCGCGAATTGGCCGTTCTCCGTTCGCGAGGGGGCGTCGCGGCCGCCATTTTTGCGGGTCCAGGTCCGTCGGTTTCGGTCCGAGGCCGTTTTCACGATAGGGTGGTGTACTCAAGGGAGGTTTATCCACCGCCGACTGCCCCTCCAGATGGAAACAGGCCCCGCGAAGCTCGAAAGAAACAGCACACGTTCCCATCCAGGGGGGCGACGCCGTGCCAGCGGGGATGGGGATCGGCGACACGATGCTCCTCGACAGCGCCCGCCCGCCCGCGGCAGGAAGCCGTCCCACAACTCCACCTTCAACAGCCCCGGCCCCGGCCGGCGCGGCCCCGGCCGGCAGGTGCGCCGCGCGAGGGAGAGCAGGGCATCGGGGCGGCAGCCCGCAGTAGGACGAGCCGTCGTCGTCGTCGTCGTCGTCGTCGTCGTCGTCGTCGTCGTCGTCCTCGTCGTCGTCGTCCTCGTCGTCGTCGTCCTCGTCGTCGTCGTCGTCGTCGTCACTCGTCGTCGTCGTGGTCGTTGTGGTCTTCGTCGTCGCCGCCGCCGCCGCCGTCGCCGCCGTCGCCGTCGCCGTCCGCCGCCGCCTTCGCCGCCGCCTTCGTCAGCGTCGTCGTGGTGGTCGCGGTGGTGGTGGTGGTCGTCGTCGTCGCCACTCGTCGTGGGCGTGGTCGTCGCGGTGGACGTCGGCGTCGTCGTCGTCGTCCTCGTCGCGGTGGTCGCCGTCGTCATCGTCGCGGTGGTTGTCGTCGTCGTCGTCGTCGTCGTCGTCGTCGTGGTCGTCGCGGTGGTCGTTCGTCGTCGTCGTCGACGTCGTCGTCGTCATCGTCGCGGTGGTCGTCGTCGTCGTCATCGTTGCGTTGGCCGCCGTCGTCGTCGTCGTCGTCGTCGTCGTCGTCGTCGTGACTCGTCGTCGTCGTAATCGTCGCGGTGGTCGTCGTCGTCGTCGTCGGCGTCGTCGTCGTCGTGACTCGTCGTAGTCGTGGTCGTGGTCGTCTTCGTCGTCGTCACTCGTCGTCGTCGATGTCGTCGTCGCCGTCGCCGTCCGCCGCCGCCTTCGCCGCTGCCTTCGTCAGCGTCGTCGTGGTGGTCGCGGTGGTCGTCGTCGTCGTCGTCGTCGTCGTCGTGACTCGTCGTGGTTGTGGTCGTCGCGGTGGTCGTCGTCGTCGTCGTCGTCACTCGTCGTGGTCGTGGTCGTCGCGGTGGTCGTCGTCGTCGTCGTCGTCGTCACTCGTCGTGGTCGTGGTCGTCGCGGTGGTCGTAGGTGTCGTCGTCGTCCTCGTCGCGGTGGTCGCCGTCGTCATCGTCGCGGTAGTTGGTCGTCGTCGTCGTGGTGGTCGTCGTCGTCGTCGTCGTGACTCGTCGTGGGCGTCGTCGTCGCGGTGGTGGTGGTCGTCGTCGTCGTCGTCGTGGTGGTCGTCGTCACTCGTCGTGGTCGTGGTCGTCGCGGTGGTCGTAGGTGTCGTCGTCGTCGTCCTCGTCGCGGTGGTCGTCGTCGTCATCGTCGCGGTGGTTGTCGTCGTCGTCGTCACTCGTCGTGGTCGTCACCGTCGCGGTCGTCGTCGCTGTGTCGTCATCTTCGCGGTGGTCGTCGTCGACGTCGTCATCGTTGCGTTGGTCGCCGCCGCCGTCGTCGTCGTCGCCGTCGTCGTGTGACTCGTCGTGGTCGTCGTCGTCGCGGTGGTCGTCGTCGTCGTCGTAGTCGTCGCGGTGGTCGTCGTCGTCGTCGTCGTCGTCGTCGTCGTGACTTGTCGTGGTCGTGGTCGTCGCGGTGGTCGTCGTCGTCGTCGTCGTTGCGGTCGTCGTCGTCGTCGTCGTCGTCGTCATCGTCGGGGTGGTTGTCGTCGTCGTCGTCGTGACTCGTCGTGGTCGTGGTCGTCGCGGTGGTCGTCGTCGTCGTCGTCGCTCGTCGCGGTCGTCACTTGTCGTGGCAGTGGTCGTCGCGGTGGTGGTGGTCGTCGTCGTCGTCGTCGTCGTCATCGTCGCGGTGGTCGTCGTCGCGGTGGTCGTCGTCGTCGTCCTCGTCGTCGTCATCGTTGCGTTGGTCGTCGTCGTCGCTGTGGTCGTCGTCGTCGTCGTCGTCGTCGTTTTGTCGTAGTCGTCGTCACTCGTCGTGGTCGTGGCCGTCGCGGTGGTCGTCGTCGTCGTCGCGGTGGTCGTCGTCGTCGTCGTCGTCGTCGTCGTCGTTGTCGTCGTCACTCGTCGTGGTCGTGGTCGTTGCGGTGGTCGTAGGCGTCGTCGTCGTCGTCCTCGTCGCGGTGGTCGTCGTCGTCATCGTCGCGGTGGTTGTCGTCGTCGTCGTCACTCGTCGTGGTCGTGGTCGTCGCGGTGGTCGTCGTTGTCGTCGTCGTGACTCGTCGTGGTCGTCGCGGTGGTCGTCGTCGTCGTCGTCGTCGTCGTTGTGACTCGTCGAGGTCGTCGTCGCGGTGGTGGTGGTGGTCGTCGTCGTCGTCATCGTCGCGGCGGTCGTCGCGGTCGTCGTCATTCGTTGTGGTCGTCGTCGTCACTCGTCGTGGTCGTGGTCGTCGCGGTAGCTGTCGGCGTCGTCGTCGTGACTCGTCGTGGTTCTGGTCGTCGCGGTGGTCGTCGTGGTCGTCGTCGTCTCTCGTCGTGGTCGTGGTCGTCGCGGTGGTCGCCGTCGTCGTCGCGGTGGTTATCGTCGTCGTGACTCGTCGTCGTCACTCGTCGTGGTCGTGGTCGTCGTGGTGGTCGCTCGTCGTCGTCGTCGTCGTCGTCGCGGTTGTCGTCGTCGTCGTCGTCATCGTTGCGTTGGTCGCCGGCGTCGTCGTCGTCGTCGTGATTCGTCCTGGTCTTGGTCGTCGTGGTGGTCGTCGCGGTCGTCGTAATCGTCGCGGTGGTCGTCGTCGTCGTCAGCATCGTCGTCGTCGTGACTCGTCGTAGTCGTGGTCGTCGCGGTGGTCGTCGTCGTCGTCGTCGTCGCGGTCGTCGTCGTCGTCATCGTCGTGGTGGTCGTCGTCGTCGTCGTGACTCGTCGTGGTCGTGGTCGTCGCGGTGGTCGTCGTCGTCGTCACTCGTCGTGGTCGTCACTTGTCGTGGTCGTGGTCGTCGCGGTGGTGGTGGTCGTCGTCGTCGTCATCGTCGCGGTGATCATCGTCGCCGTCGTCGTCGTCGTCGTCGTGACTCGTCGTGGTTCTGGTCGTCGCGGTGGTCGTCGTCGTCGTCGTCTTTCGTGGTCGTCGTCGTCGCGGTGGTCGTCGTCGTCGTCGTCGTCACTCGTCGTGTTGTCGTCGTGATCGTCGTGGTCGTGGTCGTCGCGGTGGTCGTCGTCGTCGTCGTCGTCGTGACTCGTCGTGGTCGTCGCGGTGGTCGTAGTCGTCGTCGTTGTTGTGACTTGTCGTGGTCGTGGTCGTCGCGGTGGTGGTGGTGGTGGTGGTGGTCGTCGTCGTCGTCATCGTCGCGGTGGTCGTCGCGGTCGTCGTCACTCGTTGTGGTCGTCGTCGTCACTCGTCGTGGTCGTCGTCGTCGCCGTGGTCGTCGTCGTCGTCGTCGTTGTCGTCGTCGTCGTCACTCGTCGTGGTCGTGGTCGTCGCGGTGGCCGTCGTCGTCGTCGTCGTTGTGACTCGTCATGGTTTTTGCCCCCTTGCTCGGGGGATTCCCCAGCGGTGGTCCGCGGCGGCCCCCCCGCGGCGGCGGCGGCGGGCCCTCCGCCGCCGGGGGGGGGGCGGAGGGCAGGCCGCCCCCGAGGCAGCGACGTGGCGAAGAGCGCCCACACCGCCAGCGTGCGGCGGCTGTCCACGCACATCTGCTCGGACGTCCGCGCGCCTCGCCCCTCCAGCTCCTCGTAGGCTTACGTCGGGCGTATCCAAAATTAACCATCGTATGGGGACGATGTTTCCGATTCTTTCTAACTGTTCCCTACCTAGGTTCTGCCTAGAAGGGTTCTTACTCGGAGGCTTAAAGGGGCCGGGCAGTGTAACCCGCCCCGGGCGGTTCCCCCAGGATCCGCCCCGCGGTTCCCCCAGTTACGTCCCTTTAGTTTAGCGTTGCTTATCTCATCTTAGCTTAGCTTATTTCATCTTAGCTTAGCTTACTTTCATCTTAGCTCAGGTTTAGCTTAGCTTACCTTCATCTTAGCTTCGCTGAGCTTTAGCATAGCAGAGCACAGCATAGCGCAGCGCTGCATTAGCTTAGCATAACATAGCATAGCATAACGCAGCGCAGCGCCGCATAAGCTTAGCTTAACTTAGCTTAGCTTAGCATAGCGCAGCGCTGCATTAGCATAGCATATCATAGCATACCATAGCTAACCATAGCATATCATAGCATATCATAGCGCAACATAACATATAATATCATGGCATAGCATAGCATATCATACCATAGCATATCATATCATAACGCAGCTTTGCATAGCGTAGCATAGCATAACCTAGCTTAGCATAGCACAGCGCATCATGCCATATCATAGCATAGCTTAACTTAGCATAGCATAGCACAGCATAGCGCATCATATCATATCATATCATATCATAGCGCAGCATAGCATGGCATATCAAAGCATAGCATAGCACAGCAACTAATGCTGCTTTCCTAGAGGATCCAACTTCTAGGTAGGGTCGCACTGGGATAATTGTTGACATTTTTTGGTTACTTGTGAGCTTTCTTCCAGAATCTGCCTGTAGGAGGACATGCCCGACCGAACTCTAGGCCTCCCAGATGGGGTCCGAGTAGATGGGGTCGGAGGATCGCGCCGCATCGCCGCTGCATCGCCGATGCATCGTCGACGAGGCTCAATGTGGAGCGCCCGATGTTCTCCACGCCGACGGCGCCGGTGCACTGCCGACGTCGCCGATTCACGGCCGACGCATCGGCGATCCTCCGACCCCACCCACGCGACCCCATCTAGGAGGCCCCGAACCCCTCCCCGAGGGCCCACTTCTGGGCCTCCTCTGGGTGTGGCGCGAGCAGAGGCTCCGAGGCGGCTTCGAGGCCCTGGGGTCTGACGCTCCCGGGCGGCCTCGCTGGCCCTCGGCGGCGGCCCCGCCTCGGGAGGCCGCCCAGCGCCTGCGCCCCGCCGAGCGCCTTCCGGGGGGTTTAGGTGCCCGGATCGTCCCGAGCGGCCGCCGCAGACCCGAGCTGTGACCCGAAAGGCCAGTCCTCCTCCTCCTCCCTCCTCCTCCTCCTCCTCCTCCTCTCCTCTAATTCTCTCCTCCTCTCTCCCTCCTCCTCCCTCTCCTCCTCCCCTCCTCCTATCCTCCTCCCCTCCTCCTCCTCCTCCTCCTCCTCCCTCCCCTCCTCCCTCCTCCTCCCTCCTCCCTCTCCTCCTCTCCTCCCTCTCCTCCTCTCTCCCCCCTCCTCCCTCCCTCCTCCTCCCTCCTTTCCTCCTCCTCCTCCTTCCCCTCCTCTCCTCCTCCTCTTCCTCCTCCTCCCTTCCTCCTCACCCTCCTCCTCATCCTCCTCCTTCATCCTCTCCCCTCCTCCTCTCCCCTCCTCTCCTCCCTCCTCCTCCTCCTCCTCTCCTCCTCCTCCTCCTCTCCTCCTCCTTCTCCTCCTCCTCCTCCTCCTCCTCCTCCTCTCCCCTCCTCCCTCCCTCCTCCTCTCTCCTCCCCTCCTCCTCTCCTCCTCCTCCTCTCCTCCTCCCTCCTCCTCCTCCTCTCTGCTCCTCATCCCTCCTCCTCCTCTCCTCCTCCTCCTCCTCATCCTCCTCCTCCCCTCCTCCTCCTCCTCTCCTCCTCCTCCTCTCCTCCTCCTCCTCTCTTCCTCCCTCCCTCCTCCTCCTCCTCCTCCTCCCCTCCTCCTCCTCCTCCTCCTCATTCCTCCCTCCCATCCTCTCCTCCCCTCTCCTCCCCTCCTCCTCCTCCTCTCTCCTCCTCCTCCTCCCCTCTCCCCCTCCTCCCCTCCTCCCCCTCCTCCTCTCTTCCTACCTCCTCCTCCCTCCTCCTCCTCCTCCTCCTCCTCATCCTCCTCCTCCTCCTCCTCACTCTCCCTCCTCCTCCTCCTCCTCCTCCGCCTCCTCCTCCTCCTCATCCCCTCCTCTCCTCTTCGTCCTCCTGCCTCCTCATTCTTCCTCCTCCTCCACTCCCCTCCTCCTCATCCTCCTCCTCCTCCTCCTCCTCCTCCTCCTCCTCCTCCTCCTCCTCCTCCGCGCAGTGCACAACAAACACGACTGGAGATGTTGGGCTTTTCGGGCCTCTGTGGGCCCTCGCGCGGCCCTTGGACCTTACAGTGGGGGAAACCATTTATTTTTCGTCAGGGTACCCTGGGTTTCTTCGCTCCGCGGGCTGCGCGGTGACTTCCCGCGGCCGTCAAAGGAGCTGCTGTGTTCAGGGTACGCCGTGCTCTCCCTCAGCTGCAACTCGCGCGCGGGTTTTCAGGGTTGGGTTCCTTGTGAGGGTTTCTTGCGACCGCGCCCGCACTGTAGTGGGCCCTGGAAACGACAGGGCCGTTTTTGTACGGGTTCCGTTCTGCCGTTTTCCTGCCGGCTCCGACGCCGTCTTTTTACCGGTTCCGTCGCCGTTTTTTTCCGGTTCTGGCTCTGGTTCCAATCTTGTAGCCGTTGTTTTGCCATTCTTGGTTGTTTCTTTTGCCGTTTCCATTTTCAATCCACTTTTCGGAAACGGTGAAAAACTGCCCTGCCGTTCCTGGGGCCCACTAAGCCCGGGACAGACAACAAACGATTCAGGATGAAAAACGGGTCCCACGGAATGGGTCGGGGCCCTTGGGGAACCCGTACTGAAAAATCAAGACAACGCATGTCTGCGGATGGGGTCGGAGTGGGTCGGGTCGGAGGATCGGGCCGCATCGCCCATGCGTCGGCGATGCGGCTTGATGTGGAGCCCGATTTTCTCCACGCTGACGTCGACGATGCACTGCCGACGTCGCCGATGCATCACCGATGCATCGCCGATGCATCTGCGATGCGGCGCGATCCTCCGGCCCCATCTACTCCGACCCCATTTGAGAGGCCTCTACCACTTCGATCCGGTCGATCTGATTCGATATTGGTTTCGGTCAGTCCGATCCGATTCGACGTTGATTTTCGAGCGAGCCGACGCGGTCCGATGGTTGCATTGCGCTTTCGTCCATCTTGGTGCAGCCGATCCGATTCGATTTCGACTCCGTGCCGATGGGATCCGATCCGACGCAAATCCCGATTCGCTCGGGTTTCTCGATTCGATGCTGACTGATCCTGCCGCCTTGGGGAGGGGAGTAGAGGGCCACCCTTCTTCCTCTCGCTTCTACCCCGTCCGGGAGAGGGTACAGCACTGTCACTCGTGGGGATGACTTGGTCATGGGCATTTCCGCTTCATGGACCCTTGCGGTGCGGGGGAGGAGGGAGGACGACGAGGGAGATTGCCCTTGTACCTGCTACCCTTTCTCCCTCCAACGACGACGCCTCCGACGGCCCTCAATCCGGCTCCACGTCCGACGACGACGACGACGACGACGACGACGACGACGACGACGACGACGACGACGACGACGACGGCCTCCCCCTCCGACAGGATCAGCTGCCTGCCCCTGTGGCAGACTGCACGCCCGCCATGGTCGAGCGGATGCTGGTGGACGAGTCGGAGAAGATGCTGAAGAGCCCACCCTCCTCGGGGGGGGGGCAGGGCGGGGCGGGGCGGGGCAGGGTAGGCCATGCGGAGGAGGAGGAGGAGGAGGAGGAGGAGGAGGAGGAGGAGGAGGAGGAGGAGGAGGAGGAGGAGGGGGAAAGATGGGAGGAGGGGGAGGAGGGAGGAGGTATCGGAATCGGAGTCGGTCACATCGCGATGCGATATGACAACCACACAGACCCGAGCTACGAGCGCTCAGCCCGACTTGAGTCCTTACACTGACATTTGGGCCATTGCCCTCGATCGAGATTCTGAGTATACCTCTCACGGGTGTTGCTCAGGGGCCGGTTGCAAGGTTGGGCCAGAGTTGGCCGCAGTTGCTCACTCCCACAGAAAGCGCACGTCTTCCACAGCCGCACACGCAGGCTGCCATGGCACATCATGTGTGATTCATGAATTCCCCCCCCCCCCACGTGCACCCGTTGACCCCTGCCCGTTTTGTCGGTGGTCGGGTGTTTCCGGCCAGCAAACGGGTCGGGGTAGCTGGCTTGCCATTCCCATGCTGCCCGCTTGCGGGGGGGCCCGCCCGCGCCGTGAGCGCCCCGCGGCCCGCAGCGCCCCGCGGCCCGCGGCGCGCCGCGGCCGCGGCGGCGCGAGCGTCCGAGCCTGAGCTCAGTATTCAGTGCTGTGCGCTCTCCCCGGATGGGCGTTGGAATCGAATCGAGTCGGCAGCTGATAAGCCGCAGCACCAACGCCCACGGGCGGACGGCACGGGCTCCCGCGCCAGAGGGTGGCCGCTGCCTCGGGCGCGGATCCGAAGCGGCGGCGGCACCCGCGGGAGCCCTCGTCGAGCTGGTGGCTCGACTCAAAGACAGACGCGATGCTGGCAGTGGGGGGAGGCGGAGGAGGAGGAGGAGGAGGAGGAGGAGGAGGAGGAGGAGGAGGAGGACATTTTTTGACATTCGCTTCGGGGCTGCACTAAAAGCTCATGCGCGTTCCTTGGACAGCAACTGGCCCCCAGTCCATGCCTGGGGCGTTGCCAGTTCCGAATCGGCGCCAAGAACCCTACCCCAGGAGGAGGAAAGGAGGAGAAGGACATGCATGAAACAAAACTAGCCCGGGTTAAACGCTGCCCACCTTCTAATGGGCCGTTCCCAGGCCAGAACGGAATCAACGCAGCACCTCCCCAGAACGGGGCGGAGAATCCCAACCCACCCACCAATTATCCCCCACCCCAGACACGAGCAATCCCCGAACGCCAACTTGCAGGTTCGGACTTTCGGGCATGGTGAGACCATGGCAAGACCCGCCAGGGAAGGCCACTTGCTTTCGCCTGCGACCTGGCTGCCAATTCCTTGAACTGTCTGGAGGGAGGAAGGAGGGAGGGGGGAAGACTGAAGGACCAAGGGAAGGGGAAGGATATCAAAACTGCAATGCACTGGGGTAACTTTCTTCCCACATACTAATGGGAGGACCCCTAGAAAAGCGAAACCCACCATCCCCCAAAAGGGTTGGAGAAAATACTAGGGGATTACTTCGCCAGATTTTCCTGGACCCCTGATAAGTAAGAATAAACGAGGCTGAAATACAGCTGCCCTACTAGCGCAACGAAGAAACTGCAAGTAAGCTACCTGCTTCAACAGTACGGCCGATCTGGCCAAAGGATACAAGACTTGTGAAGGTTAAAGAACGCTGGGTAGCTGACGAATGTCCTACCCAAGCGCAGCGCTGACCAACACAAAAGAAGGATTCTACCAGAAACCTGTAGCCAAAGAAACTTTGTTCACTAAGCCATTACTCAAGTTGCCTATGTTGCCCAAGATGCAATACAAATTCTGCCGCTGAAATTACAAGTTGGATATTACCAACAACATTGAGTTCCAATTGCGTTGAAAAAAGTGGAGTCTGAGCTGGAGCTGCTCCTCCGAGGAACAGGCGCACTGCCTGAAGCTGTGTTTTGATTCTTAACACGATTGAGCTCTTCCTGGAGTGTCTCCAGCTTCCGCTGGAGGTGCTTGATCTTGATATCCTGGAGACCACACTTGAGCTCCATAAGTCTTGAATCGGACGGGGCTGATTCACTGGAAGGGGCGGCATCGCTGTGCCCAACCTTTGCACGCTTACTAGCGTGTTTTGGAGAAGTCGAACGAAGACTGTCGACATGTTTTATACTGGCAGAAGGTGAATCGGACTCGCTACCGCTGTCCAAAACAACTGGAAGTTTGTCTTCCTTCTTGGTGATCTGAACCTTTACCTTAGGCTCCACGTTGAATTGCTCGCATACTGCCACATAAAGATACTGTTCTTGCCCTTTGTACGTGTCCAAGAAATAGTCCAACTGATCCAGCATCTGAGGTTCGGACTGCTGGAATACATCCGAGACCAATAGCTTGAACTGATGCCTGACTTTGAAATCCTGGCCCTGCTCTCTGTCGGCTTCTACCTGACCAGTGGCCTTATCTTTGGGATTTGACTTCGCTGCCACAAGAGGCGGCGGTGGTGGCTGCGCCTTCTCACTGTCGTCTTCTACCTGAACAGTGGGCGTAAGTTTGGACTGATTCTTCTCCCTGCCAGCTGCGACCTCAGCATTGGGCCTTTCTGTGCGCCCAGACTTCGCTGCTGACGGTGGTGGCGGAGGTGGCGGGAGTGGCTGGGAACTCTCCCCATACCAGGGGAGACCGCACTTACATAAAGGCTGATAAGCATTTCTATTAGGCCAGATCCAACAGTCTGGTCTGCCGCGCGGGCAAACCAACTTGGAATGCGAAACAACTGGAGCTCCTACTCCTTCTTTGCGAGCCCAGGGCGTCCTGGAAGACATGGCGGCAACTGCGGCGTGTGGGTGTAAGCGAAAAAAGGGGGGGGGCAAGGCTGCTCCTGCCCAGCTGGCTTGAGCGGTGGCAACTTGAGCCAAAATGGCTTGAGCCAAAATGGCTTGAGCCAAAATGGCTACGGGGGAGGAGGAGGAGGAGGAGGAGGAGGAGGAGGAGGAGGAGGAGGAGGAGGAGGAGGAGGAGGAGGAGGAGGAGGAGGAGGAGGGGAGGAGGAGGAGGAGGAGCGGAGGAGGAGAAGGGGGAGGAGGAGGAGGAGGAGGAGGAGAGGCAGGAGAGAGGAGGAGGAGGAGGAGGAGGAGGATGAGGACCACGCCTTGTGGTACCCGTAGTTCTGGGCTCCGTTGACGTGCAGGCGATGGCCTCGACCGTGGCACGAAGGAGGCGCCTGTGGACCAGACCTATTTGTTTCCCACCGTGGTCAAAGGTGCTCGGGACCTCCTGCGAGACTGTGACGCTGGGCGCTGCGATGGAAGCAATAGAGCCGGTGACTGTGTTGCCAACGACCAACCGTTCTGGGATCCCAGAAGAGATGGTCTCCTCGTGCTCAAGGTGGGAGGGGACCTGCAGTGTAGATACTTGTGACACATCACGCTCACCAAGGGCCAAGCCGGTCATACTCCAGACGTCTCCATTGGAGCCTCTGGGGCCCTCGTAACGCTTCTGAAACCACCCGTCGGCAACATAACTGTTATCCGACACATAAACTAAATATCCCGAGGTATGCCTGATAGCCAGAAAGAGCCCCCAGAGTTCCCCACGCGGTACCGTCTGAACAGGTCCAGGGAGCCATCCAAAAATGGCAGACTGAACGGCAGGCACATCAAAACACGCCAGCGTGGAGACGCCCACCCCGATTCGTTGAAGCCGGTGGTCACGGCTGTCCTTGCCACCGTTCGCGTCTCCGAAAAGCACAATTCGGTCTTCGTAAGACCCGAAACCTAGCCCAACAATATCAGGAAACTCGCCTTCAGAGTAGGCAGTGTACCAATCGGCGGCTCGATTTTGGTCCACGGGGCGGGAATGATTCCACGGAACCAAAAACAGCCTCCGAGTCTTGACTTGAAGTAGCCCGAGGTACAACATACTTACCATGCTCGTGCATAGGGTTTTCCGTGTTGCACGGGCAGAGCCATCCTCGTTGCAAAGGCGGTTCGCGGTCTTGACCGCAGTGCCTACGCATGTCGTCTTCTTCGGACGTGGTCCCGTCCTTGATGCGAGCACTTGGCCACGTCCCGCCGACAGCGATGGCACAACGCGTCTCCGACAGGCAAGCGCCATGCTTGGGGACGTCGGCCAGAGCCCGCAACACTTGCCGATACGACTGGTTGTCGGCGCCTCGCTGCGAACTTTCGCCGCAGACGTGTCTACTGGTACTCTGCCAAAGCTTGCTGCGAACCAACTTCTCGAACTCCTGGACCAAACCATTGAGATCTTCAGAACGATCTACGGCCTCATCGGGGAACGCCCAAATCGCACCTGGACCTTTATCATCAGGTGGCGTGTGCCATTCTGTCGGAGGAAGTCGGTCCCAGCCGAATTCCAGAAGATACGCTACGGCTGCCGAAATGTGGCCACGAACTGCCTGCGCAATCTGTCTAGGGGCAAACTGCCCAACGAGTGAAACAACTCGCGGCCAAGCAGCACGAATAGCGGGTCGGAGGATGGGGGGAGGAGGTGGAGGATGAGGAGGAGGAGGAGGAGGAGGAGGAGGAGGAGGAGGAGGAGGAGGAAAGGAGAAGGAGGAGGAGGGGGAGGAGGAGGCGGAGGAGGAGGAGGAGGAGGATAATCCAGGCTATTCCGCTATCGCAAGAGTGATTCAAAGGCTGAGGCTATCGCGATCTATCGCGAAGCGAATCACGCATTACGCAGGCCTTCTCCGAGCCGGCGGCGAAAGGGAGTACTCGACGACGAATTCTGGATACGCCAGCGCTGAGGGTAACAGATCGAAGGGCATGTCCATAAGACCTGAAAGCTGAAGCTTACGGAACGCGCGGATGCCGTGAATGAGTACTTCCAACACGCCACATCGCAGAACCATAATGAACCATCTACAGCAATGTTGTTCATTCCTTGAGCCCATACTTGCACAAACAATTCCACCCACCTCGCCAGACAACGCGCATGACCTACACAACGAGTCGACAAAGAGCCACACAGTTGCGCCGACATGCGAACCACCACCCTTGAAAAACGAT